AAGTATGTGCGCAGCCCTGCTAGGAGAGGCCTATTTGGCCTAATAATACTATTCTGGTAAGATGCCTAGAAACTTGAAAATCTGTATGTTAATAACTTCATGGGACACGTTCTAGCTTCTTCTTCAGGAAAAATGCATTGAACAAACAGGAGTATTTTGGTAAAGATGAGAATATTTAATGCACAATTTCCAAAGGAAAGTAACAACAGGTTATCGATCCAGAAATTTTGATCATTATTTGGAAAGATATCTTAGATCATATCCTTTGCTTTCATGTTTTTTCAATGAAAAATTGACTCAGGTTTTGTTAAAGGAAACTAGTTTCATTAGTAGACTGGTCCTTCACAGGAGTGAAAAAGTTAAAAAAAAAAAATCGTAGAAAGATTGATGGGCATGCCAGTGATACTGAGATTCTCAAGGCACTCATTGGGAATTCACCATTCAACAAGCTCCTTTTTGTATGGTCAAATAGTAATTCCAGAAAAATTTTATTAGCTCGTGGCTAAACAAGCAAACAGAAGTAATTCTTCCCTTCTCTTCTAACTCCTGGCAAGTGTCTATTCATATGCCGTGGGATTTGGCTTCCTTGGAACCTGAAAGAATTCTCATAACACAGTCTCGTATCTGCTTGGTTTTCACCCCATAGACAATAGGGTTCATGGTGGGAGGAAGGAGCAGATAAATGTTGGCTACGATGATGTGGCAAGATGTAGGGATTGCGTGGCCCCCAAAGCGGTGGGAAAAGAAGGAGAAGAAAGCTGGACTATAGGAGAAAACAATGGCACAGATGTGGGCACTGCAGGTGCTGAAGGCCTTCTGCCGAGCATCTGCCGATGAGAGGGCAATCACTGCCCGAAGGATCATGGTGTAGGAGACTGTGATACACAGAATGTCAAAGCCACCAATCAGGAGGGCAACCATCAGACCATAGATGGCATTGACCTTGACGTTGCCGCAGGATAATTTGGCTACAGACATATGGTCACAGTAGGTATGGGGAATTATATTGCCCCTGCAATAGGGCAGGCGCTTGGTAAGGAAAGTAAAGGGAGTAATGAGTAATACGCCTCTCAAGAAAGTGGTGAGCCCAACTTTTACAATGACAGGATTGGTGAGGATAGTTGAATAGCGTAGAGGGTAGCAGATGGCTACATAGCGATCTAGGGCCATAAGCATGAGCACCCCAGACTCCATCCCTGTGAAGATGTGGATGAAAAACATCTGGACCAGGCATTCATCAAATCCAATTTCCTTGAGATGAAACCAGAAGATGCAGAGGGCTTTAGGGATTGTACTGGAGCATATGACAAGGTCAGTAAGGGAAAGCATGGCCAAGAAGTAGTACATGGGCCTGTGCAGGGAGTCCTCATAGCGGATGAGGTAGAGGAGTCCACAATTGCCAACCATAGCCACAATATACATGGTGCAGAATGGGAAGGAAATCCAGACCTGTATGTCTTCCAGTCCTGGGACTCCATTCAGAATAAATGAAGCTGGAGTCATATCTGTTTTATTCAGTATTAGCATGATAAGTCTGGTATGATTATGAAATAGCGTAAAAGTTACGTGGGTTTTCCTAGAGTTAGAAAAAGAAGAGAAACCATAGGTGATGGTTACTTGTCTCCTTCTCTCCCAACTTTTTAAAATTCCATATTTCAATTTAATGATGAAACAAATTTTATGAGTGCTAATAGTAGTTTTGTTTGTTTGATTTTTCTTCATTTATTGATTAACTCATTGATGCTTTCAACAAATTCTTATTGAGCAGTCTAAGTTCTCATCACAGGCACTAAATGTACATTAATTTTTTTTATAAAAAGAGATATTCCCATCCTCATAGATTTATATTCAATGTAATTCTGTTATGACTTTTCTGAAGGTTTTTTTACTAGAATACCTTGCTTAAATATTAGTAACTATT